ATAAAGTCATAAAATACATAGAAATTACAGTATTTATATAACTTATTTCCTAATTAGACATGCAATACAGTTAAAGATTAAGTAACAACCAGTTTACAATAGTTCTTTTTTTAAATTCATAATTATTTTTATATACATTTTTTACAATATTTTTTTTCAGCTCAAATGGCATAGCATTAAAATTAATTGAACCTAAATAATCAACGAACATATTACCTATATTTTTTTTTGTGTAACTAACAATGTGTATAAAAGTTAAGTTTACCCGTCGGGAAAATGTTTGCCATTTATAATAAATGTATCATTATAATTAAAAAAATGTTATTTTATGAAGATATTTATTTGACTTATTATCAAATTTAAAAACGCAAATATTATCCATTGGTCCTCCTTGAGGGTTTTATTTTGATAGTTTAATCTTAATTCTATGTTCTAACATAACAATATAATTTGTTATTTGTCTGTTGTAAGGATTTCTAACTGAGTGCTATGATGAACTAGGAACACGATACCAAGTTCCAGTATACTGTCTTTCTTATCCTATAAATATAGTGAAAGAAGGTAGCGGAAGAGATTCTCCAGTTGATCAAACAGGTAGTTTTCAATAATCCAATTGTATTCATAGTTACTATAGTTAAATTTATGTAAGCTACTCTATGTATAGCTAATTAATTAAATGTATGTAAGCAAGTTGATAACACCTGTATAATTTTCTATTATATAGAATCATCAGATGAAGGTTCTGAAATTATGTTGAAACTCCGTCTATCATCCAATTGTCAGGATATAAAAATGCCACTAATGACAAGAGACACAATAGCACAAGCTAAAAAGAAATTGCAAGTGAGTAATTTAAAGTTTGTTTTTTTCGCATCTAAAATTATTCTAGGATTTTAAAATGATGTTATAAACTAAAAATGTTGGTAAAAAGTTTAATTTTCCTATTTATATTGTGTTGGTCAAATGATCATAACATTATTTATACATTTAAAAAAAACGGCATTGGTAAAGCGTGTAATCTACCGGATCCGCCGTGGTAAAGCGTGTGATCTACCGATAAAACAGTAGATAAGTAAATAAATAAATAAATATGAAATATTATATTTTATTATTATTCAATTAAAAAAAAACTATATTTAATACATTAAAGTACACAAAACAAATGATACAATTAGTCAAAAATTCAAAATATATAAATTGTGTTCAAAATATGATAATAGTTACAATATTATTTTTTATGAAACATAAACTTTTTTTGTATCTTCCAAAAAATGTATAAATAAATTATTTCTATTCTTTATTGAGTGGTACTAACATTCAATTAAATGGCGTGGTATTAGATTTTCATTAGTCCATGCATTTTTCTTAATATTTTAAATTTTAATATTGACCATAAACATTTTATTGTTTGCGTGTTAGCCCCATTTACGCGGGTTTGAAGAAATTCTACTCTAGAGTTTTCAAAATTAATAATTTTATAAAAATCCGATGCTAACATTTTTAAAACACACTACGGACTCGCGCACAAACAACTAGATTAATGGTAAACATATAAATGCACAGACAATAAACGTAGTAACCTGTTAGCTATTTATTAAGATATATTTATTTCTTTAATCTTAAATATATTTTTTCAAGACGTTATCGTACATTATCGCCATGTATTTAGTCACAAAACACATACTATCCGTTACCTATTAATAGTAGATCATGGCGGATCCGGTAGATCACACGCTTTACCAATGCCAAAAAATCTAACAAGTATATAAATATTAAATAATTTTTTTGTTGATCTGTGATGTTAAAAAGAACTAAAACATCCTGAATTTTTCAAATTCAATATATTTACTTAATTCAAAAGTATTTGTGAAAACTTTTATTTATTCATTAATTTTTATTTTCTAGGCTAAACAGGGCATTGAACCTCTACATCAAAGATGGTTTTTTGGCGGTAAGCTGTTGGGTGATAAATTACATATAGACGAAGCTAGAATTCTTCCAAGTTATGTAATTCAAGTAATCATTAATCCTGAACCAACAAATGAAAGCTGAATTTGAGTTGCTATCATTTCGTAATAGTTAATCGTTTATCAACATATGCTTATCCATATAGGAACAAATATTGATATTACATACATTTTCACTTGTTATATTTTATTTTTAATTCAACGCTTTAAAAGATTTCCAGTAAAATTACACAATTTTTATATTTATCTTCAATTGGTTACCCTATAATAAACTTAAAATTATTCCAATAATAAACACTATTGAGAAATTTTAAATGCTTACACTGTCAGTTTCTTTATTGTAGATATGTTATATAAAAATATATTGTAAAATATAAAATGTATAACATATATCTAATCCATGCAAAATTTCTTACATAAGTAAAACTAAATCTAACAATTAAATTATGTTGGCATTATAATTTTATTATTGAATAATTTTAATTTATATTTTGTATTGAATTTAAAATTTTTATCTTTCTTTCATATGTTTTAAATGTTTTTTTTTTTGTACTATTGATTGTGGTATTGTATTTTGACGAAAAATAGATAAAAGTACAAAATTGGAATGATCAAACTTAATATCTATAAGCTATACAATACAATTCCTTATACATTTTATCCTCAAGTGTTAAGGTAAAGTATTTAAGATTAATATTTTATTCATAACAATTGTTTATAATATTTTCTAAACTTATTTAAATATTGTTACTTATTAATTATTATGTTTGAATTCAATGTTTTTATTTATATATTTTTTAATATTTAAAGATGCTATATTAGTTTTTTTACTTTGTATTTTGTTTTTTTCTAGTAAATGGTATTTAATTTAATGTCAGTATATTTAAATACTTTTTAACTTTTATTGTTTCTAAATATTAAAAATAATATAACATACATATTATGTTTGTGCTGAAATTTGTCACATTCAGTGCTTAAAAAATTAAGTATTATTCAAATCAAGTTCTTTATTATTAGTAAAAAGCAACATGTTTATGTTCAATTGACTAATGACTACTTAAAATTATTCTTGAACTAAATTAATATTATCTACTGTAAATGGGATTAAATAAAATATTATATCTGTATTGTAATAATTTTTATATTTTAAATTAAAAATATGGTAAAATAAATAATCAATTTCGTTTTTATTTTTTGCTTTGTAGTTTTTTTTTGTATGCATGACTGAGAAATTCTGTTAACAGCTGAAATAATTTCTAGTAAAATTACATTTCATAATTTAAACAGTTATATTGTACGCACCTATATCTGTTTGAAAAAATGTTTGTGTCTAGTTATAACAGATCTAAATATCTGATACTACTTAGTATAAGGTTTATGACTTATGAGTAGAAAATGTGCGATATATGTCTATTTATGGCATTATTACACTACTGTTCTCTGAGCGTATTCTAATGGATGTTATAAAGTCGGACTATATTTTCTCTCCCCGGTCGGCCGTGCTCGACCGCTAAATGTCTCTTAGCTGTGGGACATCTTTTCTTTAACGTTCGTGGTCTTGTGCGTCATGCTCGTATTATTCTTTAAACAATACTACTCAGCACTCATATAGACTTCGTGGCTACTGCTGCGTCGTCATTTTCCATCATAGACCGCCTCATCTTTACCAAATATATTGATTGTCACGTGGCGCAGTGATGCAGCCTGTTTTTAGTATGAATGTATAATATAAAGCAGAAATCAAATATCAATAATCAATGTATACAATCATGAAGACTAGAATAGAATGGTCTTCATGAATATAATACACCTATAGTTTGTACTCAGAAACCGAAAAGCGCCAAATATCTTAACACTGAGATTAGGGCCGGTCTATTAGTAAAAAAAGGTCTATATTTTCTAATAAAACCAATTGTTTTCAAACATATCTGTTTTTTATGTTATAAATGACAGTCTATAATTTGAATTGCTATTTACATCAACAATTCCAACATTAATCCTGAAAAATCATAAAACCGAATATGAAAGCTAATTATCGCATGCCCATCATTTAACTCATGTCCAACATTGAAGCATATACGAAAATTAATCGAAAAAGCTGTAATGGAATTTCATACTTTATCATCAGCATATCATGACAGAGTACACGGAGCCGGTGGTTGTGCCATTTAATATCTATTCCGTGGGGTAATCGGAAAAATATCCACGGCGAACAACCCCAAAAAAAATCCCTACACTACTCACAAACCATGCAAATTATTGAACAGATAGTGTAGTAATATATACTTCAAATGTAGAAAATGTTCAATTATTTTTACAGCTAAGGATTGAAAATTTTAAATATTACGTTTCTTAAATTATTATGAAATATTCAAGATATATTTTTTTTATTTATGGTTAAGCATCAACGACTATTAAGGTCACCTATTAGCAGTATTAGCTTATAACGATATAAATATTAGCTATATAGGTAACTATAAATACATATGATACACTAGATTGCGTTATACGTATCGATATATTTGAGAAATGAAATAATTCTGTGGATGTTGTCTTCAATAGGGCACTCTGTCTTCGGAGAAGCTGTCTGGAATTATACTACCTCTGTTTAATTGTAAGCAGTTCTCCACAGGTTTGGCTTAATGTTGGTTCTTTTCTTCGCAGGAGGTGTCCATGGGTTATCTTTGAGTGACCTATACGGAGGTTGTTTAAAATTACTTCATCTTTACGATTGAATGAATTAAGTTTAGACTACTAGGTATGTGATAGTATTTTGTATCTCTCTTAATTTGTTATTTTGTGTACGCCGCCATTCGGATCCCCATGTAAAATATTATAAAACAAAAATAAAAATAATTATCAAACAATAGTTACCTAATGAATGTGGGCACCTACTCAAAGAAAAAAAAAATATTTCGAATACGTCAAATAATACGTATGATAATAATAATTACAATAAAATAATTATCAAATAATAGGTCAACTAGTCAATTAATTAAGTATAGGTTAACTCACAGTTAAAAACATAATATACAAATATTTCGATTAAAACACAATATTATTAATATATAAAGTAAGTACTATAAATTTGTAATTAAATATTAGTAATGATGGCAATTAGTAATTACACCAATTAGAGTTTAAATAAAATTTTGATCAATGATTTGCATGGTTTGTGAATAATATTTTAGTCTGGGGACTTTTTTCCTAGGATCGGTGATTTTTTTCCGTAGTTGTTCGCCGGGGGAGTTTTTCTCCAGTGATTTTTATTCCACATTCAATGGTCGTGCTGCATGGGTAACGAACCCTCGGAGTAGGTAGGTACCGAATATTCTGATATTGACGTGTATGTGACTCGAAGTGTATTTGCCACAGATCCTTTTTTTAAATATTTCAAATATTATTTCCCTAGAACAGCCGAACATCAAACAAATAGCAATATAATTATAATATAATAATAAATGTGCATATATTGAATTTACGTAATAATTTAAAAGTTTTCAACGTCACGCATGGTAACTATAATTTAAATTTATTTCCACAGAAAAAAACATTTATTTATAAGGAAGTTATAAAATAATGCATTTGATTAAGTAAGCAATTTCTACATAGCTTAACATTTTTAATGTATCTGAAATATATGTAAACGAATGTGAATGTATGTATCAAGTTATAATCATTAATTTTCCAGAACCGGATCAATAATTTAGGTACCCATTAGTGTTGGATTCAAGTGATGTTCGTTGGATAGAAGTATACGAAAAAATTACCATATGAAATTGGACAAATGATAAAAGTATCGACAGACATCATACAAGTGTGAAACCTGTATATGTAATGTTGAAGACGAACGATTACTTAAATATGCGCTACGGTTATCTATACCTATATGGCAATAATACTCAATAGACTATAATTTTGGTCCTTCAACTGGTGTCCAGATTGTTAAAATCGAAAAATATACTAACCTGACTAATTTATATAGATATAATATGGAAACATTAAACATTGAATTTTAAACCTTTTGAAGTAGGGTATTTACGGTGCAATGCAAATATGCAATGCATTACATCGATTTGCACAGTCATGTAAAATATATAAGATAATATGGTGGTAGTATTTAAACTTCGAATGGGAGTTCTGCAGTTTTATTACGTGGAACCACGAACACCGTCGTTTGCATCGGAGTGGGCTACAAAATGTTTTGGCTGAGCCAAATATACACGAAGTACGAGGCATAGATGTAGGAACAATTAGTAAAAGTAAAGTACACCAGTAGCCAGTAGGTATACACGTAAACGGTATAATAAGTTAAATAGTTAAAAAGTCCATTTTAAAAAGTGTGACAGAAAGTCCTGGTTCATTTTTTATTGTCCGACAAAACTCCGAAGATACAAAATATTATACCATATAATTTATTATACTACAACCATATCTATTAACTTATATAAGTAATATCAATTTGAAAAATGTAATTAATTTTAATATTCTAATAATCAATTATATTTATATTATATTACACATTTTATTTAATTATGTTAATAATATTTTGTTGGATTTCGACTAAGTACTTACAGAAATTTATTGCAATGCATACATGTATTTAAAACTGGTAATAATATAATATAATTATAGATGAAAATTTAATAGAATATTCAATGTTTTCGGACCTTTCGTCTGACTGTAAAAATGTGTGCGGCCCATTTTCAAAATGGACTTTTTATCCCCGGACTTTACGTCCGAGCTTCCAAGTACCTAATACGTAAACGTGTTGAGCAAATACAAATTGTTCGAATACAATGGTTGGATATCGCCACACCATACTATATAATGTTTAACGATATAAACCAAAAAAATTTGAAAACATAAGACGAGGATATGGTATAACTGTAAGTCTGTATACGCAGTAGGGACTAAGGATCAACGTATTTAAGACATCAGTTTCTACATTGTCGCATTGAAATTCCTGTACAGAACTGGAAATCATTAAATTCGCAATTAGATTGAGACATAATATGCAATGCGTTACATTTGCCAAGTTTAAAATGGCGATAAGACAGTTATGAATTCAGATTAAAAGTTCCAGTGTCTTAAGATTACAACGTTGAAGATTTTATTAAAAGTAAACCAATACGAAAATACATTAAATACTTAAAACTAAAAAAATACAAATTGAAACATTTTAAATAAAAATATTTGAATAAACAATTAAATTATCGGTAGTATTAAAAGAGAGGTTCAAAAACACCATCCGATCTTCCCGATCTTAAATCCTCTAAGCCGCCGACCACCTAACCCAGCTACTGCCACCGTTGCACGCGTACGTACTTGAATTTTTATTTTAAAAGTCTATGCTCGTGATATTCAACGAATACAACAATAGTACAATACGTCATTTGATTGAAAATCCTGGACTAAAATATTTAAATGAAATATTCACATTTCATATTTTATGAATGCCGCATTCATTGCTCCAAAATAATAGTATTTCTCAAACGGCTACACTGAACGACACAAGTCACACCATAAATGTTTTATACCCTAACCATGGTTCTCTTAATAATAATCAAGTCGTTTTCGGTTCCGTGCAATTTTGTTCTTTTGAGGTTATCATTCTCTCTGTCTATATTTTCAATTTTGAAATTGACTTTTAGCTTTTGCTGAAATAGACTCTACTAATATTTCTAATTTGTCTGTTTACCGTCGGTGAGTTACTTTTCGTTATATAATTTGTATTTTTTAACTGATGTGTTTATTTGTTTGGTAATAGGACTTAAAAAATGGATAAACCAGTAGTATTATCGAGAGTTTTGAAGGTTTTGGGCCGTACAGGATCGCAAGGTCAATGTACGCAAGTTAAAGTTGAGTTCATTGGGGAACAAAATCGTCAAATCATTAGAAACGTAAAAGGACCCGTACGTGAAGGCGATATACTTACACTCCTCGAATCCGAAAGAGAAGCAAGAAGACTTCGATAATGTAAGTGTTTTGTATTTAATTATGTTTTTTATGAACCAATCAAATATGAAAGAAATACATTCATTATTCCTCAGCTTATTCCCTGTGGTCTAAGCCCAGCAATCAGTGATATAGTTGTGAAAATAATAGTGGTCACATTATGCTAACTATCTTATAAAATAAACTTACCACAATAACATATTGGTGAGAAAGGTTTATATCATAGTTCTTTAGAGCTTTAGTTCATAGGCTAATACGGTTTCATTCTATTTTAAACATAAAATTTGTAATACGATTCTAAATACCAAAACAACCATTCAGCTCTAATAATAATTCATATTTTATTCTAATTTTTAAAACGATTACTTTACATATATATTTATTCAAGGTACCTTTTATGTATTAAAGAAAACTCGTAGTAACCTAAAACCTTATCTAGACTCGGGTCCTAGTCCTATTATTCCTTTGGGATCTTACTCATCAACATGAATATGAAGTATACTTACTAAGTATATATTAAAATACATCTATACTTCTTGATACACACATTACGTTTGACAGTTAATTTTTTTTAACATTTTCAATTTTGTTCACTACTTCCTAACTGCAGACTTGGGTTTTTGATACACACATGTATTTAAAATGTGAAGTAGGTACACGTCTTATACCATCCCTTATACTGCAGCCTTTTGTGTTAAACTTTAACATCACCATTTATAATATTTCTCTTATTAACATTTATAACGTTATAACATTGTTTATTGATTTTTTTTTCAGGTTTTTAATACAAGTATGTAAATTTATCTCGAAAATGAATAACGGAAACAACAAAATGTAATTAAATTTATATTGGTACAATAAAAATAAATACATGCATTAAAAATTATGTTATATTTTTATTAACAGATACCTATTTTAATTTCGCTATTTTGCGATTCAATTTTTATTTTCATGTACCTTAATTGATTAAGTAATAATAAGTCAATTAATAACATATAGATAAGGATCTATAGTTAGTATCCAATCTTCCATTCTTTGTTCAGAAAATAAGCCGACCAGTTTTTATCGGTATTACCCATTTTTCACCTGTGACATTGTGTTGCCCAGTTGCGATAGAAGTTTGTATTAATGTTTTGCTATATTCTGGAAGTATCGGCTATCCACTATAAGAAAGTTATGGGAAATTATGTCTTACCATTGCCCGTGTCGTGAGTGTAGGTATTCTCTTTCGGAACAGAGAGTGGTTTCAAATTGCAAATTAAATTTATTTTACATATAATTGGTTCAAAATGTATAACTAAATCATGGTGACTGTAGGCAATCAACCCAAACAAAACTTTAAAAATGTATTGGTAAAGTTATGGAAAAATAATTTACCCTATTAATTGATGCATTTTATTTATTTATATTATTACGTTTTTATGATATTAAATAAGGCCTGCATAAGGGTAAGACAATTGATAAAATATATTGTTAATCACTTGTAGAGTACAAGTTTTCTATGAGGATAAGAATACACAAAATTAATTGTAAAAATGTATACACAACTAACCTAAGGTATTATTGAGTAATATTTTATTTTTTGTGAACAGACAAATCATAATCAAGCGGATGATATATTTCAGATAACAATCGGTAGACATATGAAGGAGAATGGCCACCACTAAAAAAAAAACAACAATTAAAAAATATAATTGATAATATTAATAGTGTTGGAGGAGTATTGTATTTTTAATATCGATTTGTATTACAAGTACAACAAAAAATGTAGTCGAATCAAGTACTCGAACTCGACCAACACTAAATATTAAAAACAATGAATTATGATATGATATGAACTTACTTATTTGAAATGAATAGAGTGACATTTTCAGGAGGGACATAATCATATGTAGGATTATAAACATCAACTTTTGATACAACTGAATCTGAATAATTCAGAACACCAGCTGGCGAAACAAATTCATTGAATGCATCTTGGTTGTATGAACATAAGTAACGTGAACTCAGCTTATACATTGGTGCTAAGACTATTACCTACATAATCAATTAACCTAATTTAGTAAAAAAATGAATTGAACAAACTAAAAAAGTACTAATACCGGAACAGAGTAATGAGCTGCAGCTAATGCGACAGCATGACAACCATTGAATGTTCTAAGACCTCCGTTGGCCATAACAGAATCAACACCAATAATTACTTTGTTCACTCTAGACATTATGCCAAACATAGTAGAGTCTGGAATTAATGTTGATTGAATTTTATGTTTTGAAAGATTTAGTGCTAATTGTCTACCCTAGTAACATTCTAAGTCAAATAAAACATTCAAGTTATTTAATTTAATTTTAATTCACATGATTTAAGGGGGAGCATTCCGTTATGAATACTTCAAAAGTTCGATCTTTAGCAGCTTCTTTTAAAAACATTTCAACTTCGGATGACTTTCCAACGGTGAGAATAATTTCATTTGAATGAATATGTTCCAATGCTTGCTTAGAAATATCTTCATTACTTAAAAAAAAAAATTAAGATTTATACTTTATATATCTACTAATACCTAGGTTAAAAATATATTTTTTTTAAACCTGGATTCTATTTCTATTTGAAATTCATCTAAATGTTCAAAAATTGATAACTTAAGTTCAGGGACAATGCTGTTATAGTCATCAACATCATCTTCAGATGTAACTATTTTATGTAATGAGTCTTGAACATCAATTTCCTCTTCAGAGCTCTGGTATTTTTTTCAATAAAACAATTGATTACAAAATCATATTTGCCTAAAATGTATAATATATAAATTTAAATTACTTTTCTAGCAGCAGTGTATTCTTCCCGAACAATGTTTAATATGCGTCTAATAATATTTCCAACAATAAATTGTAAAGGTAATGCTGATGTAATTTGGAATCCATATTCTCTCAACTGATTTAATAATTCTCTAGAAAATTTTAAATAAAATATTATCACTCAACTATCATCCAAACAAATTCCAGGTAACCCACCCAGGCGCCTGAAAAGGAACCGATGTAGAGACCTACTCTCTCCTTAAAGCGACTTCCACGGGGTACCAACATTGGGTGACTTCCCCCTCCCGCCAATCAACCCACATCCCATTTACTTATTGTACTACATGTAAATACAGATTGTAAATACAATTTTCTTTTGTTCAATAAAAAAAAAAAAAATACTAGGTATCAGCTAATATTTATGAATACAAATGTTTGTAATGTTAAACAAATTTGTATTTATATTTTATTTGTGTGTACAAAAAACTATAAAAGAAAATGATTTGCCACATTTTAAAGTAATTGTAAGATGTTTGTACTTAGTATTCTGTTGGGTTCAGTAATTAAGATTATACATGACACATAAGAATAATTTAAGGAAAAAATTACTGTGATTATTGTAAATATTGCTTACATAGTTGTTGACCAGTGGATTGTATCAATAAAATGTCTAAAAAGCTGAACAGTTTTTTCCGCAATTACATAGTTACTTTCCCATTTCCTAAAATATATTTAATAAACATTAAAATTTGAACATTCAATAACCTGGTTTAGATTTGATTAAATAGTTTAAAATAAAATAATACTAAGGTAATAAAACTTACTTTCTTTTGAGGTTTGAAATGTAATTGTCTAACAACATTTCATGAGTTTTTCCATCTACGTCCAGCATTTTTCTAAATATACAAAAGACGAATTTAAATGATTTCAAATTAATTAGATGTGAAAGGAACACACTTTAATGAACTTCTCCTATTTCTACTGGAAATCAAATAATAAATATTGAAAAATAATATTTAAAATATTTGGCTAAATCTTACATGGTTCGATAGTTCAAATAGCTCAATAGCGCTGGTGATTGGCGATTACTCCTGAAAGACGAACAATTAAGAATGATACTGTGATAGCGCTATAATCATAAGCTAAACCAATAAAAAAATAATAGTATTATGGTGTGAAGTTGGAGACTACTACTTTCATTTTACCACCGACAACCTCCCACACCAATGAAAATTGTTCACCAGTCGGCTATTACTGATTATGTAGACACCGTTGATCGATAAAAATTTGTCGTTTAACTCTACCATAATATTAGAAGACCTCCACAGGCTACGCCGCCCAAGTGTTAAATACGCGGCGGATAAAACTCCATTTGATGGAGTGCGCATGCGCGAGTTTGGCGAGTTTTCATCTGCGGCTTGTGCGCTATTATTTGAAAAAATGTACAATAAATAATTAATATTCAGTTGTAATAATACATAATCAAGATGTAGAAGAGATCTTGACTGTAATATTTTAATATTGGATGTTTTGGCCGTATCCCATAGCTGGTTTTCTCTTAGTTTTTATAAGAGTGGCCTATGTGGCTATGTAGGTTTGTTGTCAGGGGTGGACTTCAAGATATCAATTGTGACTTTTTCGAGGGAATCATGTCATTATTAAGAATCATGGGGGGGGGAGACCTGGATGTAGGGAGAAATTTATGTGCGCTGATTTGTTCAGATTTATTTTAGTTCTCTGCAGGTTCACAATACTAATAGTAAACAATTTTAACAAAATATGTCAGATACCAAAAATGTTAATTTTAATACATTTATAGAAAATTATTAAAAGTCGGTTATAAACATACCGAATTGAAACAAAAATTGATTTATTTAATGGAGTAATGGATCAACTATGGTGACCTAATAATATATTTAGTCCTTAACTTACTATGCACCACAAAACTCATCATTTATTTTTTAGTATATGACACTATGCAAAGATTTAAATTAAATGTGAATTAATGTACCAATTGAACAGTTAAAAATACATTAATTATTCTCAATTTTGTTATGAAATTTATTAAAATGTCCAATTTCCAACTTCTAGGCTTTAGATGATAATAATCATAAACACATTTATGGCTAAATATATATATATATGTATGCACATTCATATTAATCATAATCAATTCAAGTACTTCCTGTTAACAATAACAACTTTACATTACCAGTTGCTTCTTTAATACTTCTTACTACATATCATGAATGTTGTATATAAACCAGAATATTAATTGTATACATAAAAATATAAAATATTGTACCTTACATACATTTATAACATTAAAACCAAGACAAAAATAATTTTAAAATATTTATATATATTTACATCAAACTATATTGCAAATTTAAAAAAAAAGTTGAATTGAAATATTTCTAATTTTTGACAGAAGATATAATGATAATAATGTCTATACCTACAATATATTTTAATGATTTCATAACTGTTTAGTGTCCATTATTTATTAAGTTTTTCTCTCTTTATACAAAATACAAATCATTTTAAATACTAATTTTTTATATTTTTTAACTTAATAGGTTTATTATTTTTCCATTCCAGTTCTAGTTTTTCTATTCAAGAAGGTATACAAATATTTGATCCTCTTTTGCATTTGGCTCCACTTTGTTGGTCTGGCCAATGGATATATACCATGTTGCAACATCTTTCTTTTTCTTAATAATATTTGAAATTCATTGCCCTTTACTCCTCTCAACCAGGATGGCACATTGTATAGTACACGGACAGGATGCACCGAATCATCTCCTAAAATATCAATGTAATCATTTTGTCCAAAAAGAGCTCTGCGTTCGTTCCAAACATCCTTAGGTTTGTATATGGGCATTGGCAATTTATTTTTTTCATCGGCCGATCGTGGCAAAAGCCCTGACTGGAGAATTTTATCATCATTATAACCATATCGTCGAATTAATGGTCGAGCTCCTTGTTGATCTTTCCAATACCGATGACGAACTGGTTGTATGTTGATTTTTGAATATGAAAATTTCAGAGTATTTACTAGAGACTGCATCATTATTTATCTGAAATCAAAACATTTATAAACTGAATAATGTAGATATCTAATAACATAATTGTCACTAAAGTGTTAATGTATTAAAATATATTTAAATTAAATAACAAATATTAACTTATATCCTAGAAAATTATAAGCTCCTACATAGTGAATTGCTGTTGTATTAAAAGAAATAAATACTTAAATATATATACCTTGGAGATTTCAAAAACATATAAAACTAAGAAAATTGGAAAACACTATAAACACGTTCTGTAATAAATTTATTGAATATGAAAATATTAAAATGTGATAAATAGTAATCTGATAATTTGAATACTGATTACTGACAATTGGGCTGATAACAATATTATTTTTATTCTGTAGTGATAATAATATGGTGGTGGTGGTCACTCAGGTCACGGTTTTAATTAATGTACAGAAAAAAAATATATAGTAAAATATTTAAACCCGTGGTCCGTGACTCAAATTATTAGTCAGTTAAGATCAAATCCACAAGTCTATTCTAAATTGGTATTAGTGTGTAGGGGGGGACTAGTGCTAACGCCTAACATACATGTTATAAATTATTTACCATAAAATATAAATTATTATAAATATTATACAAATCTAATATATCCAACTAATAATTTTAATATATTACACATTTTATCATAATGTTAATAGGTACTAATAATTAGTACTTACTATGTGTCTATGTATCCATAAACTTAATACTTATTCAATTTTGGTAATTATTCCATACCCATTACCTATATCCTATTTATTATAGACTAAATTTAATAAATTTGATGTAGATCACAAAAATAATATTAAAAACACCAATGCTGGGTCGTATGAATAATTGCTAAATATTTAACCAATCAATAGCTGGTGAGCAAATGTTCTCTTAAATATGATTTAGTGGCCCATCATTGGTCCATAAATTAATACATTTTTCATGCAACCCCGAGTAAAACTAAAACTAGAATCAGTAGAATCTAAGAAAAGAATTAGGTTCTCTAATAATGAAATAAGTATTTGTTAAACAAATTATTTTATAAATGTAGACTAAAAACATATTTAAAAAAAGATTGTTATTAAAATTTAAACATAAAAAATGTAAACAATCAGTCGTTTCTATGGTGATATATCCACTATGACTACAGTTTATACATTACACAACCATAACAATAAACCAACAATTATTGAATGCAATAATATGGTTACAATGTAGATAGTATTGTTATTATTTGGATAGTAATATTAAAATAGCAAAAAAGGAATGAACAACAAATGTGTTAAAAAGTGTCAAATTATATATATTTTTTGGATATAATAAATAAACGTGATATAATTAATTAACTATAATAAGTAATGGATAAAGATCCAATGATTGAACTTACTGAATTTCATAATAATTTATATGGCCCTTTATCAGATTCTAGAGAAAATTTAATTGATGTAAGTTTAAAAGTATTGTATTTGTTTTGGTTTTTTAACTAAATACATGATAATTAACTATTAAGATACCTATTACATTATTATTGTGAATTTTTGATATTACGTAAGTATTTTATTCATGGGAAAACCTTTAAAATTTTGATGTAGAAATTCAATAAATGTTATGAATATAATAATATATACATTATAGTTTATTTAGTTTATTAGATTCTGTTTCTGAAACAATTTTTTTATCAAGTGGATTAATTATTTAGTTTTTTTTTTTTTGATAAAATATTTACTACTTATTTATCTACACTAAATACAGTAAGATACGAATCTTTAAGGACAAAAAAAAATGATACATGGACAAACGGCTTGATTGAAGCGGTATGGATTGACACCACTTTAAGTTTATTTTTTTTTAAGATTTATTTATTTATTTAGGAAAAATAGGAATAATTATCATGAAGGTACTATGGATCATTTACATTTAAGCGGACAAATATATTTGTATTATACAGACAGAAAGCAATAATGTAGAAGCAAAAATTAGTCAATGCTTGTCAACTGTCAATTTTTTTTTTTTTTTAATAATAGACTCAATGGGGTATCTCTTAAGCTATTAGACAAGTCACAAAGTTACAGTGTAACATTGTAATGGTTAGAAATTAGAAATTAGAATAACATACAATGTTTAATTTTAAGTAAATACAATTTTTTTAGGTCTAAACAATTTTAATTAAAGTATAAAAATCATTTATTTTTTAGAAACCACCAGAAATTAAACCCAGAAAAAAAAAATTATTAAGTATAAATGATGTTCAGTCTACAGGATCTAATTCCAGCAGTAGTGAGAGGTACTTATTTATTTTCAATAAGCACTCTTTTTAGTACCTAAGCATCAAAATCATTGCAATATTTTTTTATGAAAATACATATAATTATAACCTATTGGCCATTACAATTTAGATTTATGTATCAAAAATTTAATTTGAAGTAATGACTAACAGCATTATAATTTTTAGCCAATGATTTATTTCTTGAGTACAGTTATAATATTTGATGATTAATAATAGATATTCAAGTTTACAATGTTTGTTACCTACATAATTAATTAAAAAGATGAATTGGGTAATTTGTATACAGGGATGGATCAGAATTGTCATCAATTAGCCATGATTCATCACCATTGTCACAAAGTTGGCAAAAAATTAAAAGTAATTTCTATAATACTGTTACTGTACTTACATTATTTAAGCGGAAATAATATTTGAATTTAGTTTAATTACCAAACAATTTTGAAATAACAGATAACAGTGTATGTACACCGATACCTATACCTCGTCCACGTTCAATATCAAGTAAAAAGTCTGCAAGTACTAATGGATCTAGTGAAAGAAGTATAAGTGTTATTAGTCCGATATCAAATAAGAGTAGTTTACAAAACAGTCGATCTGTAACGCCAGAAAGTGTATCCATTGAATTAAGTGATAGTGAAATCACAGATAGTTCAAGCAGGTAGTGCCATTAAAGTATAGTACACAATAAATCAATAAATACACAACTTATAAACTGAAATTCAAGCATAAAAAATAGAAAATATTTATTAATAAAATGTATTGATTGTAAATAAATACTACATATGCGGATATTCACAGTTTGACGTTTTTAATAATATAATTTCTAATATATATTTTATTAGAGTTAAAATGAAAGAAAATAGAGAAACAAATGACACAGAGCTGTCAGCCGCATTAAATAATGTTGCTACTTTAAACATGTTTAGTGAAGAAACAAGAAGTATTATTTTTTGGCGTTATTTTACAATAATTCTTCTATGGATTTTATAATAATTTTAAAAATAATATTTAGATGAAAATGAAAACATTAAACTAGAAATTTATATTCATCAAACAGATGCATTAAAAGTTGATACAAGAATAAAACATCCAAGTGTTATAATTTCTATAATTGATACAACGACGTGGGAGTATCTAAGAGTAAGCGAAGCAAATGGAACAAATCAGGAAAAAACTTATGTAAATCCAATTTTAACAAAAGAATTTGATTTCAAACATCATAAGTAATTTTTATTTCTTAATATTATAATTTAAATACATTAAAAATAAATTTTATATATATGCCTAGGACAATAATACCAAAATGGGATGAAAAACTTGTTTGTACTGAACAATTTAAACACATCATTACAGAGAATACAGTAATATTATTTGAGATTGTAGATTTTACTGGAAGTATTCGACCTCTAGTAACAACGAATGATTGGCATAGAATAGCTTGGGCATTTATAAGACCAATTGGATCAAATGGAATCACAAATACAGGAAAACAAATAAGACTACAGTTATACAAACCTGGCCCAAAGCCAAAGTCTTTTCACAAAAGTCATCCAATGGTAGGTCTTAGCAAATATGGTATCATTTAGAAGTTATCTTGTAAAATATAACTTAAATAAGAATACATCATCTGTTGTTTGGATATTTAGGTAATGCATTGGTTTATTAAAGGAATACTAAAAAAATATCCAAGCACGCTTTATATTAGTTTGAACAAAGTAACATACTCTGGGGCAACTGATGTGGTATCAGAACACAAACAACAAGAATTAATTTCAATTAACTCTAGTTCACAAAATGGTATAAATTCTGATTCTATCAGTTCAAGTCAAGAAACGTTTCAAGTATAAATTAATTTAAATTTTAAACCTCTACTCATTGATAAATAAATAAATAATATTAATTGTATTTATATAGGAATACTATATTAAGTGGAAACGTTTTCCTGGCCAAAAATGTAAAATACCAAATTCAGAAATTGTGAAGCTTCAACCGAACTTAGAAGGATGTATGCATTTGAAATTTAGTCATGATGGTTTAAGACTAGCAGTTGCTACAGGAAAAAATATAAATATCTATTCAGTACCCGGATATAAATTGCTTAAACAATTAATTGGTCATCAAGGTATGTATTATTATATAATAGCATCTTATATGGATATCTCTACTTAATGTATAAAATATAAATGTAGTATAAGATAGGTACGTCTTGTCAAATCAAAATGTGAAGTTTAAAATTTTTTCATATTGTATTATTATTAGTTTTATCACTTTAGTGAATTTGTTACCTAGGTACTACCTACCCTGTAATTTGTAAGCTGTATTATTTCCACGTAAAAGTTCATGTTGTTTTAACCAAACATATAATTACTGGTATAGATTGTAGGTGTATATAAAATCGAAAATAAAAATGTATATTATAGAAGTTACCTACGTAGGTATACAGTTATGCATACGCAACCTATGGTAATAATATCGAATTTAATGACCTACAAATTACAATTAACTACACAATTAAACATCTATATTATAATGTATGCTGTATGACGCTATTCCTGAAATTGGTTTTAGATTCATCAAATTATATAACGATATTGTTGTTTCATGTTTGGGATTTAATTTAATTGTGTTGAGGCCTTGACGGTATATGGAAACCTGATATTCAACATCAACGGTATATACCATCGTTCACCAGAATACTGTTATACCGATGACTTAATGCGGATAATAGATTAATAATACCTACACATTTTCAATTTTAAGGTATTATATTAAATATGGTATCCCTACCGCTTGCAGTTTGAACGGTATTTGAGTAAATCACCATCGGTATATACCGAAAAAATATCATTTAATCTAAGCAAAAGATTATCTGTAAGACAAATGATTTTTAAATAGGAAATCAAAAAAATTAATACTTTATTAACTTATTTCTAGTTAGGAGAAAAAATATTTTATATTATGATAATTTTGAGTCAGTAACAAACACAATAAAACAATTTTTAAATATAATATATTTCATATTGAAATGTTTATAAAAAATTATAAAAATAAATAAAAAATAATAATATATATAATATATGTTATTTAAGTACTAAACATTGAAGAATAAATTAAAAATGCCTTGAATTTCTTAAGACACTATTTTATTATCGTGTTCATGACAAAAGAATCACACTGTGATGTATATCATCTAATACGATTTACGATCATTTTTTATGTTTTGACATTGACAGGTTTAGTATATACTTTAAGGTGGAGCAATGACAATAATAATTTATTAACAACTTCTTCCGATTATACTGCGTGTGTATGGACACTGCAGAATTACAATCAAACAGACTTCCAAGTATGAATAGTTAAATAAATAGTATTATTATTATTATAAAATAAAGTATGTACTTGAAAAATGATTATTTTTAGATTCTTCCGCATCCGTCATATGTGTATTGTGCTGAATATAATAGTACAGTTATAATAACTGGATGTTACGATAGTATATTGCGACTATGGTCTTCCACCCTTAATAAATGGACATTGTGCCAAGAAATGGAATTCCACAAAGGTTTCATATCAAGTATTGCTTTGTTGGGAACTATAGTACTTTCAGCCGATAGCCATGGGTTTATTATCGAATGGACTCTCGAAAATAGTAGGTAGGTCTAAAGTCATAAACTTATGTAAACATTTAAATCGGTATTAAATATTATCAAATATTAAAATATGCACGCGGTCCATATAATTATGGACATTTTATTACATTAATAAATTACGTATAATTTATTCGGATTCTGTTTTTTTTTTGTGTTTCATCACCTTTTGATTTTATATTTATGCTTCAGAATTTTGTTTCTTGTGTGAAAGTGAAACTAGTTGATACTTTGGGGTGATTTAGTTTAACGTGAAAAAATGTTCAGTCTTTCGCAGGAAAAAACAAGAAGCAAAAAAAAATTTTAAGAAAAAATGGGAATTTTCAATCAAAATTAGTTTTTGATATAATTGATTTTTTTTTTGTGTAACCCAAAAACCGTAAATACTTTAATTTTTCATCAAATGTTTATAAAAACAAATTCCATAGATACATAATAGTGACATTTTTAAAATATTTAAAACCATGACTTTTTTTATAGCTATTTTTAGCCATGAGAAATTTTCTCTTTTTTAAAGTTTTTTTTCAATTATTGTCGATAATATGTCTGTATTATTATATTTTATACACAATACACTATTAAAAATTAATTCAACCAACTACATAACTAGGTAATCGTAAAATAAATTACTTTATAATAGCAACAATATTACCATAAAATATACTTAGGTAGTAATATAGAATAACTGACTGTATTGTGCCTTCGCCCAGAACCATTTTTCGTATACAATTGAATTCAAATTTAACACATCTACACTTAATGACGACACCTAATGTACAGAAGGGCGGTACCCACTTGCAAACTATTTTTTACTTATAGTACCCACCTGCAGGAATGTACAGATGGATGATTATATTATATAAAATGTAAATTACATTAATACATGATGCATATACGTAATTTTAGACTAGAACTAAAGAGAATTATAACAGTACCCGAAATACGACAAGTTATAATAAGTAATATAATTTTACATCCAGCCGGTAAACGGCTTCTAATTCAAACCAGAGATAGTATTTTACGCATGATGGATTTACATACGACGGCAATCATACAGTGGTTTAGGGTATGTATTTAGTATTTACACATTACACATTACACACAACTAGATTCGCATTTGTCATGAGAAATACAAGTGTAAATTTTGATAGGGTGGTGTAAACAACAAAGTACAAACAGGATGTGCATTAAGTCCTTGTGGTAATCTTGTGTTTGGCTGTGGCGAAGACGGACTTGTCAATGTTTGGGAAGCGTATACTGCTAAACAATTGGCATTTTATACGAATCGTCAAGATTTATCAGCAGCCACTAGTAGTGCAGTGGATTATCATCCACATGATCATATGATAGTATTTGGGGTGTATACTCCAAATAAAAATTCGCCCGTTTATGTTGCTCAATATCAAAAGTAAGTTGTCGGCTGTTTTTAAATAATCATAATAAAATCTAAATGTTGTATTATATTACAGAGAAAATGAAACGGACATTGGTTTGAGGTTTTTGATTCCAGTAGAACACAAACAAAAAGTTTTTGGGCATATTAATCACCACACAGCAGAATATGGATATTTAAATAAATTAAAAGCAAAAGAACATGATAATCAACGAATGATGCCATTAGTCAATATCATCAAGAGAATGGACAGTGTTTTAAATTCATTTAAGATAAAAGAATAACAACCAATGTACTCATGAATTGCGGCCATGTCCCGTTTTCCCCAATCTTTAAAATGGCTGTTCCCGTTATTGCCCTTTTCAAACAATTTAAAAAAAGGTTTGATTCCTGTTTTCGTTAATAAAACTGCCTATGGTAAAATGATTATACTTTTATTCCATATTTTTGGAAAAAAAATTGCGTTTTCATGTAGGTACAGTGTACCTGGTCACACTACATATACTCTATAATATGTTAAATGTTGTATTTAGAAAAAATTGATTATTTTTTTAATTACCTACATATATAGCCATATAAGGTATACCTGCGAAGAGTTAACTTTAAATAATTGTACATTTGTACATGGTTCATACGACAACATTTAACATTCAAAATTCAAATAATAATTCATAATTCAAATAAAAAAATAACAAAATATAATATTTTTTTCTGTTTGTTCAACATAGTTTCAATAAAAATTAATAATACCTAATGTCATAATAAAATATATTATAAGTGTGAATATTGTGAAGATTTTATACAACCTATGTTAAATTTAATTTAAAATAAAAACTAATTTAATTTAATTTTTAATTGTTTTACAATATTTTGATCATATTATAATACAAGTACCTGGCAGGCAAATTGGCGAGGACGGGAATCACACCTTTTTTAATATTGATGGAAATAGGGGAACATGGAAACAAACATTTTTAATTTTTACGGAAACAGGTAATTGTCTGAATTACTGGGTAACACCAAATTAATAAAAATATGATTGCCAAAACATTTATTCTTATAGCATGTATTCAATATTTTTTATATTGTTTTTTTCTTGAAATGTTTAACATTAACAGAAAATTGTTTACAAATCAAATGTTTTAATTATTAATATAGCTATTTAGGTACCCACTTTAAGTTTGATCAAAAAAACCCGGTGAAATAACAGAATTGCATATTACCTATATAATATATATATTATATGTTTTAATGCATTTTTGATTTCATGTGATAAGATGAATATTGAATAGGTAATGTGTATTATACCGTATTGGTTATTAACAGAGTTAGGATATTGTATCTCTAAAATTGAGAAAATACTTAAAATTACCGACGTATGTGTGTGTGTCTCAAAAATCTATATTTTTCTTTAAAATATCTAATTTTGTCAAAACACGAACTTCAAATGGACATCTACTATCTATACCCTACCCATACATTTTTATTTATCTGTTATCAACTTTTGGAGCAGTAAAAAATAAAAATGTTTCGATTTTCTACTTCAGAATCTTTTCTGGTAACAAGATGAATCTATATTAGGTACTTTCGAAAAGGGTATTCCTAATGGCTTTAAAAATTGTCGGGAAAAACAAAATACAAATTAAGGAAAAACAGAATTTGTACGCAAAACCAATCTTCGACAAAATCGATTTTGTTTTTTGGTGTAAGTGTGTAACTCTAAAAAAACCGTATATACATACAATTTTTACTGAATGTTTAAACTTCCAATTTTTACACACTTTTCAATTTTCAAAATATTTCGACATAAATACTTCATATTGCAACCAAAACAATTTTTTTATAGACATTTTGAGTTCAGATGGACGAAGTTAGATGTTTAAATATAGCTATTGCCTATTTTAATTATTTTGTTGTAATTTAATAATATTTGGGCGTACTGGAGACTTTTAAAGTGTTCTATTATATATCATACACACAATGACAAAAAAATTCAATTTGCTAAATAATTCCTAATAGTAAAATTAATTACTTCAATCACAATAATAATATAATATCATAAAATATACTTGGTAATATTGTGGGCTGATAAGACGTCTTCGCTCAGAATCGTTTTTTGTAAAGGTACAATGATTTTATATATCATATTGAATTAAAATTGAACAGTGTCACCTCTTATTTACAATACAGCGTCACCCACTTTCCCGCTTTTTTGGATTATAAACTCATACTTATCTCGGTTGTTTATGATGTTATAAATATTTCCAAGCGAAATAAAATTATGTTCCATCCACAACTCACAGCAATCCAAAAATATTGAAAAACTCTAAACAAATGTAGTTTGATCACGCTCAGAAACGTTTTATTTTGTACACGAGACAATTCATTATTATTTTTATACATTTAATAGATGAGCCAAATAACTGTCACACGGTGTTCTAATTTGATTTCGCGTGATCATGAAGCTTTTCACAAACACTTAAGTTCGATAACTTTACCAATGCCCTATATACATTACGGATATTAAATATATATAGACATGTTATTATTTTTTTAATAGTTATGTTAATTTCTTAATTGCGTGTTGTATACCTACACTGACGTCAAAAATAATTCTTCATTACATGTGTCATATTTTCTACAAGTTCTTGGGATTATTTTTGTGAAAATTTACATTTCAACGATCACCGCTGCAGTGATCTGAGGCCAGTATTTTATATCTGATGTGCATTAACTTGTTTCACAAGTAGCAAGAAGAATAAATTTAATAATACGCTGTTACCTGTTGTGCCCTCTTAGGTCTGTAAGTAGTGGTATTAAAATGGATAAGCATGCGTCATTTACATTCCAGACAATATTTTTCTTCATTTACCATTTTAAATAATAATAATACCTATTTAGTTATTAATTACAGAAAACAAACATAATACTGCATTAAAGTGTATTAATATAGCTATTTATATTGACAAATCATTTTATATTCAAATCAAATTTTTCTGAAAACAAATATTGTGTATGTTATGTCTTACGATGATTAATATTCAAGGTTTTTCCAAAAATTAGATAATTCATTTCCTATATTATAACAGGCCTTAATGCACGCTATCCTCGTGTATGAAGAGGTGGTAGGGCATCCAGTATATAATTGAATATCCTCACATAAATGTATGAAAAAGTTTAAGGGGGGAAACCAGAATGGATTTCTGTTCATTTTGTTTATTCGCTATCAATGTATTGCACTTGGTCGTTAGTCTCGTTGTATAAGTCAGCAAACTAGTGGTGTAAAAGTGAAGTACATTAATTAATATTATACTACACACACATAATTATCATATAATTATATATCTTATCAATTTATCATTGTTCTTGTACGAGTAACGAAAATAATAATATGCGTCGTATACATATCTGGAGAGCAATCGGTGCTTTGATTGTTGTGAGTTATTGTCAGGCACTTGAGCAAGGTACGTTGTGTGAAGAATAGTTTTTACCTAATTTTGAAATTATTTTATGACTTTAATCGAAAAATGAACTAATAATTTCTAAGATATTTACCAATTTAAATATTTATGTATCATCAAATTTATCACCATATATTAAAATAATTCTGATATTATTGTTGAACACACACACACACATTTTTTTCTTTTATTAACTGTTAGATGCATCAACAAGAAGGTTGTTAGCCAGAGTCACATTTTGCACACACACACATTATATACACCTATTGGTATAATATTATATACCTACCTACCCAAAGGCGATTTGAAAAGTATTTTATATTATTATTGTTCTGCGATTACAGGTAGATAATTAGTTATCTGATACGTATCGACACTCACCCTGGCATTTGTGATATAACATAAAAGTAACAGTTACTTTATTGAAATTAAAATTGTACATATAGCGGTCAGAAAAACCACCGACCCCCAAATATTGTATACCGTATATGTCTAGTACCCACTCGTACCCACTCAAGCAGCCATAGTCAATACGAGGGAGGATTATCACTTGTGTATTATTTACTTAATTGTGTGGCTTTTGCTTTAATAATATCAATAATAAATTAAATCGTCCAGGGATGGTTTTTTTTCATGTACAACGTAAATATATACGATTATATGAACATAAATATAGTTGACCTATAGTAGGGTTTCAAGTTTCAAATTATTGTACAATTATTTAATGTTACATTAAAGTGGTGACTTCAAAATGGAATTAATGATTCTCCTGATTCACTTTTTCGGTGTGATATAAGTTATTCCTGCACAAGCTTCATACCTGTCATATAATATAGCATATAATAAGCGATGATGTAAATAGCTATAATAATCTTGCTAAAAATTTTGTTGTAAATTTAATGTTAACATTTACAATTGGGCTAAGGTTTGTATTTATAAAAAAATGAAGGTAAATATAATCAAAATACATTTACCTAAGTACATTATGAAAAATCAATTATTTAAGTAAAAAATATAACGAGAATGTTTGTTATATCACATTTGGTGAAAAACAGGATCTGTAGTAATTGCAAAAAAATAAAATAAAATAAAATTCACAATTTCCTGTAAGGATACAAAAGCGAATAGAACAGTTGTGAATTTTCGATAAATGATTCACACAGGAAATACGCTTATATATATTTTATCGGTGTTTGTTAGTAAAAAATAATGGTATATCAGCTTAAATTATTTTAACAAGCTTCCAAACATTTATCAATAAATATTTTAACTTACAATAAAATAACTATTAAAACTATAAAAAAATTTTTTTTACCAATTACATTTTTTAAAAACTTTTTAAAATATACATATTCTCTGTTTCTGTTCTAACTGCTTAGAATCAGAGCCGTGCCTATAAGATTTGGCGCCCAGGGCAAAAATAAAAATATTCACCCCGTATTTTATTTATCATTAATCATAACGCATTTAATTCCTATTTAATTAAATTTTTTACTACTTATTTTGAACATTGATTTGACAAAAATCTAAAACTGATTGTAATAGCAATTATTAAACTAAATAGTTAGGTATAATTTATTAATTTATACCGTATTACATAATTAAAAATTAATACAAATCACAAATTATATTATATATACATATTATATTTATAAACGTATCATAAGAGCTTATCATATAGGTACTTAGTTAAATAATTAATTTTCCTGGACCTTATTGAAGCGAAATCTTCAATGACGTCTTCAAAATCTATGTTTTTCGTTATTTCATTCCCAATTGACAATATTCCTGAATTGGTCAATATCTCTTGCAACATGTTACATGGTTGATCGTAAAAACGTCTTAGTTAATTTCAATTTACTAAAAAAGCGTTCCTCGGAAGTGACGGTAACAGGCATGGTAAGAAACAATCTATATATGCAATCATTAAGTTTGGACAAGTTGAATTAAGTTCATATTTTTTAATTGCATTTAAAATATTTAAAGCAGTTTAGTTTAAGTCTGGTAAAATTAGTTTTACTTCGTATTAAAAAATTCGATTTCGTTAATTATTTCCTGGTCAATATCTTCGTTGTATTTGATTTTGAGATAAAGAATACGATAATTTATTATAAAGCCAAATAATACAAGAATAAAACGTTGAGGTTGACCAATTGTTATTACTCGAACATAGTCGGAAATTTGTTCAGAAAAAATTTATAATGGTCTAAAATAATTGTAAAACAATAATCTTTCTTATATATTTTATTTATGTAAAGTTTAAAATATTATAAAAAAAAATTTTACCGCCGCTTTAAACAATGCGTCCGGGACGTTTGCCCACAGCCCTTCCCCCACAAGGCACGGCTCTGCTTAGAATCAAAAAAAAAAAATGAGATACAAAGACATTTTTTTCGCTCACCTTTGTACATTATATAGGACACTATGATATATAGGTATATTATTTTTTTTTTAATTTTAACACAACCGTCAATCACTATCGCATTCAAAAAAATAAATTGCTAAATCTCTGAACAAAAGCTGGTGGTTACATCGGAGGTGCTCCCAAAAATTACTGAACTAATTTATTCTAAAACTACTTACAGGTACAAAGTAAAATATTCGTTCAATAAACCAGTAATACCTGTAGAAGATGTTTGAGAACAACTTTTCATTTCTTAATATACCTATGACTGAAAATGCTTAAATATAAAACACTGCAATTTTTAAGATAGATCAACAAAAAAAATGAAACGTATTGAGAACAATTAATTATCTATGCGTCACCTAGGGTGGTCGGTACGTATTTAGATGTTCATTTGTATTTATTATTAACTGTTAATTTTTATATAAGTTAATTCAAGCAGCTATTAAGTGTCACAATATATACATATATAACAACATAATCATCTTTATGTCTAAATCTATATATACGGATATACCTATACGCATATTTCAATATTATATACCATTAACTGCATTCCAGCGGTTATAATCATTCTAGTTTATAGAACAACAAGTCCATTTATATGCTAATGGCGTTTAATATACAAATTTAATGGATTTCATATTTTTTTTTCCTAAAAACGATTATAATACGAATTTATTAAATTACGTATACAGCACACTTTAAATTTGGATTTAATTTTACCAATATATTATATAGGTAGTATTATATAGGTAAACTATTATAATAAATAATCGCTCTCGAACCATTATCCGAATGTTGCGTCCGATTTTGTGTTAACTTTACTCTGAGATTAATTGAAGGTCACAATGTCACATTGATTGATGCACCGCGAATGGTAGAGCGAATTTTCACTCGTGTCTTATACACGAGTAGGTAACGGCAGGCTTCAGAAGTCCTTTTGGTTACCAATTAATCTGTTCAATTTCGCAAAAAATGCCCTCATAATAATTATGTCCTTAGCCAATATTGAATACCACCAGGCGCCAATAACCATTGCATTGGTTCATTGGTACCAAGACGGCAAGGCCACACTATTCTATCACGTAAATACAATGTATGTAATATTCCTATAGGTAGGTACAGTTTATACTGTTAAATTTGTGATATTAATTATATTGCAGTGTTTTTAATGCCGTTAATTTATACATAAATAATAAATATAATAAAATAATAAATTACAGGAATATTTATTTATAAACCATGGGGCACGGACTAAGATAGAAATATAGAATTCTATCTTAGTGAGTGGTATAATAAATTGTATAAGCATAGTTAAAACCTTTCCGGTTGATTCACAAACTGAAATAATTCTAAAAGTCATATTATCGAATCTGGATTAGACCGTCGTCAGTTGTGCCGTGTAGAAAAGTTGAGTATTTGATACCTGCATAAGTGTTATTATTTATAACTAGTAACCACCTATACAAGTATATGTAGGTACACAAGAGTAGCGATGGTCCTTCCCAGTTAACACTATAATAAAGTGTCTATAAAGTGATCTAACACGATTAATATTAACAATATTATTGGTCAAGTATTGGTTGTATTGAAAATATCAAAACAATTTTGATTTTTAACGATGGGTTTTTATTGATATCAATAATATTTATCGTGTATGGGCCGATATTAAGTCTACTTATATAAAATCTACGTAGAGGCATCGAGTCTAGAATCTAAATAGACGTTTATTAGACGAAAAAAAATTAATTCGATTTTCAATTTTTTTTTCGTAGATTATTTATATACAGATAAAAAACATATTTGTAGTGTATTTAATATACCCAGTCCTGGACTTAATATGTAGTGCAGAGAGGGCACGTCCTCTGCAGGACTCATTATACTGTAAGGACCCTCAGACAAAAACTAAAAATTCTAAATTTCAATTCCATCCTAAATGAAGTAATTATACTGAAAAAATTAAATATTATTTAAGTAGGTATTTTTTTGTCATACAAATAACCTAACCTTTCGATGGTTAAGGTTGATAAGGCATAAGATTTGTCTATAATTGTATATGATATAATTATAGATTATTTAACTATACCCAATGAATAATAAATCATGTGTAATAAATGTACGCACATTTTGAATTTTTGAATGTTAGACTATGTGTGATTGTTATTTATTTATTAAATGTCTTACATTCTTACATTATTTGTAACATATTATATTAAAAAATATTTTAGGAAGTATATTTATGATAAGTTACTTGTATCCTTGTTACTTGTAGACCTCTTTCCGTTTAGAATTTTAAATTATAAATCAACTATAATTGCAAGTCTTAATGTAATAACTTATTAGTTATTAGTTACCTATTATAATATTTAAATTTGTATATTATATATTTATAATATGTACCTACAATTAGAAATTGTATAAAATACGGCTGTCATATACGTGTAGTGTGCGGTAATATAGGGAAATATATACTTGAAATGAAAAATCTCAAAACTTATTTTATTTTGTTGAGATCATACTAAAACATAATATTGATGATAATTGCCAACTATAAACAATATCTGGTTGTCCCAAAAGTTATATACACTTAAGCCCGAAGTTCACCAGATTGATTATATTGAATATGACATACATAAACAACTTTATTTTAGAAAATTAAATTAGCGGACTGCTCATTTCGTGAGTTGTCTCACGATCATAGACCTTATACTAAGGTCTTATACTATAGTCTATCAGCATAAGATATTAAAGTATTTGGCCACGACACAGTTTACGATCAGTCATTAATACTAGTAGGTAGTAGGTACATACTTTTCAAAAATATTACAGTTTTAGTAGGAACATTCTTTAATGAAGTGTTGAAACAATTGCGGATCTAGATTGTTTTTATGGTTAGTGCTATTTTAATATTTTAATTATAATGGCCTTAAACTTTAAAGGTACTTATTACAAACAACTTCGGGGTGAAAACAAATTATACATAATATTTTATGTTAGTACAAAATTGAAAATATAATTAATACGTTTAATTGTCGTACGCGATAAAGGTTATTTAGAATAATTTATAATTTTTAAAATAAGTTCAATATGCTAAACGATAGGTGCTTCAGCTCCAAACAAACCCCTCCCTCTAAATCCACCTCTGAATCTAAAATATTTTAAAAATCTTGTAAAAAAATACATTTAAATACATTTGTAAGAAACAAATATTGTTTTTTGTAAAAGATAATTTTTTATGCTTATCGTGTAATTAGAATTTTTGTACAAATCGATTATCGAATAACATTTAAAAATGAGAAGATTATGGGTTGTCCGCGCGTCAAAATTTTTTAATTTAAGTATAATCACTATATATAACTGTTTATAAAAATATAATAATTCATGAATAATAAATTTATTTCTAAAATTAATTTTGTTTAATTCTTAAGACCAATTTTTTTTTTTTTTTTGAAATTCTAAATGATGATAAACAATTAATTAACGCCATAATTAATTGTTGATACAATTTTCTATTACCCTACATTATACATATGATATATCATAAAGAGAAAATTTATTTATACTTACTTCTTTAAATGCAAACTTATACATATGCGATATACTAATATAGAGATGTGTATAATTTATTATTTACAGAAATTGGAGATGAATGTACAAACAAAAATGGTGTTGTTGGATTTTGTCAATATAGAAGCAAATGTCAAAGAAGTACTGATTTAGGAGCTGTATGTAATTCTAGACAGACAATTATTTGTTGTGCTAAAAATGTTTTAAGAAACAAACATTTTGTTTCTAATAACGATCAAAAAGAGGATCGATCAATACAACCCCCATTAGGTATTAATCCTGATTTCTTTCATGCACCAGTATTACAACCAAATCCAATAACAAATATAAATTTTTTTGACTATCAAAAACATAAGACTCCCAACTTCGTAGCTAATGTTTTACACCAAAGTTCAAATACTATGGAGTTTGTTGAAGATAGACCTTATCAAAACTACGAACAAGATGTAGTTATTAAACCTAACAATAAAAATAAGACTACACCTATTAGAACTACAAATGAATACGGGTTGTATAACACTAATAATAGGCCAAATTCAAACAATGAAAATGTTATGTATGGCAGTGACCAAACTACTAATGCACCTCAAAATTATTACAATTATCCTAATTATGAAACACAGAGGCCTGTAATTCAGCATCAAAATAACAATTATTTCAATCAACCATATTATGAAACATACCCACAAAATCAAAATAATAATAAAAACAAAAATTCTGTGCCCCAAAGACCAAATTATAATCAATATGATAATCAACCACACCAGGTAACATACGAATCAAATCAAAATAATAATCCTAATTATTATACAACCACCAAAAAACCACAGCATATATATAGCTCAGGAAACAACGAAAACAATTCGCCGCTTCCAAACTACAGTCAAATCAATCATAGTGGTTACAATGAAAACAATTCGCCGCTTCCAAACTACAGTCAAATCAACCATGGTGGTTATGAAGAAAACAAGAGGCCAAGTCAAAATACTAACCATAAGACTAGTAGCAGTATATTATTTCCTGATGATTTAACTGATACAACATTGACAACAACCACCAAAAAATATTACGAATATCAAAATAGCCCGAATGAAGATAATAAACGCATCAGTGAAAAAAGTAAAATTAAAATTAACTAGCAAACAGAACGATAAGCATTAAATATTAATTTTTACCACAGAATGCGAAGAATATTCCAAAGCACTCAGAACAACAGTTTCTGTATTACCTCTGTCAATTGACACAGCATCAAAGCCAGTGTCAATAGAAAAATGTGATTCAAAAAGCGTTGGGTTAATTGTTGGTGGAACTAAAGCTGAATTAGGAGAATTCCCACACATGGTATAATGTGGCTGAAACAATACAATTTTAACATATTTACAATGGTATCATTTGTACATAGGTGGCAGTAGGATTTCGAGCAGGGTCTGGAACTTCATGGAATTGTGGTGGTACATTAATTAGTGAACAATTTGTGTTGACAGCTGCTCATTGTACGCATAGTACATTGTAAGTTAATAATTTATTTGGTGTTAAAATCTACAAACTGCTAATCAAATAAATGATACAAATCAATAATCATTATCAATACTGAATTTGTAGAATTATACAACTTAACATTTCCTAAAATATCTGTTTTTACATACCTATTATGTCAAAATATACGTTTAATAATGAATAATGTTTGACAGAGGCACACCAGTACGAGTGAGATTGGGAGATTTGAATTTACAGACCAATAATGATGGAGCTCATCCTGTAGAATATCTGGTGGAAGAAACCATTGTGCATCCTGATTATATTAAAACATCTAAGTATAATGACATTGCTCTATTACGTTTAGATGATAAAGTTAATTTAAATGACCACATTCGGCCAGCTTGTCTTTACAATAATGACTATATCAATTATTCCCAAAAAGTTACTGCTACTGGATGGGGAAGCATTGAATATGGTAATTTAAGACATTCAATACTTAACATGTACCTATATTTTCAGTTTTTTCTTTAAAAAAATATGTAAAATATTAGTTTATTTGATTTAGGCGACCGTTCCAGTGATGATTTATTGAAAGTGGATTTAGATTTAATAAATAATCGTCAGTGTGGTAAATTATATGAAGCAGAAAGCAAAACAAGAACCCTAAATAGAGGTATTATAGATTCTATGTTGTGTGCTGGAGATTTGGCAGGAGGACATGATACTTGTTTGGTTAGTGAAATTATGTATTCAAAAATCATAAACTAATAGAATTTAAATTGAACAAATAAATAATTTAAATTGAATTATTACTTACTATTTAGGGTGATTCTGGCGGACCACTAGTAGTAAAATCAGAGAAAAATGCATGTGTTTTCAATTTAATTGGGATAACATCATTTGGAAAATTGTGTGCAACAGAAAATTCACCAGGTGTATACACTAAAGTTTCAGCATTTTTACCTTGGATAGAACAAATTGTTTGGCCCTAAAACTAAGATAATTTGTGCATTATGATATACCTATTCATATTTAAAAATAGCTTATTTTTATATGTGTGTTTAAGATTTTTGTAAATAATTAAAACTATATTATTTTAATTCATACTTTTAATATGTTAGTCATGTATACATTCAAGTTATACTGAATGAGGATCAATATCTTCGAGAAGAATAAATAAAATAAGTTGGGAAGTGGGTACTGCTTTACTAGGTGTGGTGGCTCAGTGACTGTGTGAGCCACTGTAATGGATGTGTTAAATTTGAATTCAAAGTTCATTGTATCTGAAAAACGATCATGAGCTAAGACCGTTTGTCAGCCTACATTATTAGTGTATTTTATGATATTTTTATTAAAGTAATTTATTTTAATGTTAAAAACTAAATTAAAGCAAATTTAGTTGTTGACTTTGTTAGAATAACAAATCTAGGTATACTCTGTTCAGCAAGAGAATGCGCCGGGTTCCAAATCTGGTTCCCCTACATGTCACCCTACAATAGGTGAGCCGGTTTTATGAGCGTGGTGACACGGAGGGATGCGAAAAACCGGTGAGTTCTCTCGCTGGACAGAGTATAGTTAATATTCCACTCTGCAATATTCTGTCAAATAAACGTTTCAGAGAAGTTTCAAATCAATGTGTAACATAGAGTTCATTGTTACTTTTAGGTTAAACCGATATTTTGTTAATTGATTTGTGAACTGTTGTTGTGTTTGAGTTTGTTAAAGATAGGATAACTTATGTTGAATCTTGTATTACATTGAAAATCTTGCGTATAAAAATAAAATATTTATAAATCTCAGACTCAAAATAATTTGTTTTATTTAGTGATTTTTACACATTTTGATACTTCTGAAGCCTGTAAATAGCTCAGTCAAAATATTTTTAAAAACTTAAGCTAGTTAAGCAAGACATGAAAAAGGTATATCACTTTCTTTATTATTAATAACTCATAAATTAATTTCAATTAAACTTCTATTTGGACACCTCTATTAAATAGATTTTTCTTAAGCAGAAGACACATCATCTTTTGTTGCACTAATATTTTTTACTAAAAATAAAGTAAAACCAAGCTATAGTTGGAAATATAAAGAATATAGAAATATTAATAAAAGCTAAAAAAAATAAAATTAAAAAAAAGAATATAGATTAATCTAAATTCAAAAATTTGTTTTGTTATTGGTTTCAATGTTTAGAAGATTTTTTTTTTGTCCATAAGAGATTTTTATTAAAAAACACATGTTGTATAATTTATAAATTATGGGTTTAACATATATCTTACATAATATGTTAGTACACATGTCTCATAGACGATACACTAGTTTCATATTATGTCTCTTAACAAAGAATTTTAGTCAGGGGAGACTTTGAGACTGTGTCTCCCTTTAAATAAAACCAGCTACTTGTAAATAATAATGTATAGAAATATTTTTATTGAATTGAAAATATATTATATCGTTTTAATTGTTTATTATTATAAATTGAAGGTCGTAAAATCGAAAATCTGTTAATAGTTATCTCAATGGGAATACTATTTTAGTCATTTCTACGACGGTCGCCGGTTCAGCAAAACTGAAGCCCGATACGTAACATGTAATGGCTAGAGTGGTTGGACGGAGGGAGCCGGGGAGAATAAACAACGTATTATAGATGCTATTCAACCTGAGTTCACAAAATTAATTTATGTGCCTCTCCACCATCGATAATTAGTTCTAGATGTTTTAATTGCTGTTTCTTCATTATTTAATGACTATTATACGTTTATCTATCTAATATTTATTGTTTTTGACATTTTTATAAGTAGTTTTTCTTATTTTAAAAATGCAAAAAGACCAAATAATAGAATTTTTACTGACCAGTATGCTTTAACATACGAACAAAAAAATTTATGTATGTTATATAATTTAAATCTCTGAATCTCTCCAGAATATTAACCCATGAGCCGCTACTGATTTTAATGTTTTCCTAACATGTCATATGAGACCATTATTTGTATAATCACTTGGTGTTCAAAAAACATTAAAACAACTTTATTAGACCAAGTTCTGTTTAAAACTATAATTAAATGTGCAGCTAGTTTATTATTGTAGTTAATTAAAAATTCAATACTGCTTTGCACAGACACAGAATGGAGATGAAAGCAAGACAAAGTACCCACTCCTAGATCATGTCAACACTCTTTTATAAATTAGTCATCATATATTATTAATAAGAATATTACATCATCATAAATAAATAATTTTCATAAATATATTGAACACTTACATTACATATTTACTGTTTATAATAATAAAACACTTCAAATATATCATTTTTAGTTGGCCATATGAATCCGTTTCCTATTGGTTTATGAGTTGAAGGAAATACAATATGTCTCCAATTTCTAAAAAAAATAGTCAAATTGTTTATTTTAATTTGAAATTTTTATGGACAAATTATTTTTTGCATCAGATGTAAAATACAAAAGTTATTTATGAGGACATCTTAAAGCCTAACTTTGTCATCAAACTTGAAAATACTTCAATCTCAGTGTGACCGTGTTAAAACATACTTTTTTGTTTTTACAATATTTTAATTTTTTGAAGTTATGTATTTTTTTTAACTGTAATATTTAACATGACTTACATAAAAAATTAAGAAAAACAATAACATTTATGTTCAAATATCCATAATTTTCTTACTTTCAAGTTTTAATAGGTCAGTTTATTCTACTATTAAAGCTAAAAATACAAAATTGGTTTTTCTGAATACAAATGTATTATTTGCCTATTTTGTTTCTTTTAAACTTTTATTAACACATGAGGAGAGTATAGCATCATCTAAACCAGAGCATTTATATAATATAAGTCTATTTATATGTTTTTCGAATTGAAATTCAAACTGTGTTTACACGTGAAATTTACCTTCCACTATGAAGTCCGAGGAAGATAATCCAATTCATTTTCATACCATAATCATAAACATTTACATATTCAAAGTTTATAGCTGACAATCTTTCTGTTTCAAATTTATTTATATGCCCTTCAATGCTTGTTTCGCCATAACTTATTAATAGACCATGCCACGTCGTTAAAATAGCTAATGCAATAAATACTCCTGAAATAATTTGTTGGATAAAGTATAAATAGTAACTCAAGTTGATTAAAAATTACCACATGTTATAAAAGTTATGACCATAATACACCAAAATCTCCATTCTGCAACATGATCAATTTCAAAATTTTGGTTTTCATATTCATCTTGAAATGTTAAGACCCAATCTGTCTGAATTAAATAATAATATTTTTTATCCATACATATATAGTCTAAATATTTACGTTTAACTTACATTTGGTAATGAAGTATTAACTTTAATTGGATGCCCTACTGGATCTTCTTCCTTATAGAATACTTCTGTGAAAACAATGTCAGCTCCAAATGTTATCAAAAATAATGAACCTAATGTCATGTAGACCATGTAGAGAAAAAAGTAACGATGGTTATAAAATCCAACACAGTTGTTTATCCAAGCTTTAATATATACTTAAGAAAAATGTTTCGATAGTATTTCAAGTATATATTGTATACATATTTATTATTTAAAAATCAATAATAAAAATAAAAAGGTGTTGAAAATATATTTTCTGAAATGGTTGAAGATTTGAGGTAATGTAGTTTACATTAGTCTTACCATTGGAAAAAAAATTAATCACCACAGAACATATTATGGTAGACATTAACATTCAAATTACACTTTTAAAATATATTTAACTAATAATGAATAATATGATAGACATCTAACTTAATGGACACTAGATTCAATTTTATAAACTATAGTAAGAATAACTTTTAATATCATAAGGGTATATGTTATATTAATATTATATACAAAGGATACGACAATGGTGATCCATTTTGAGAATGCATTTGTTGCAAATTGAACAATGGTGTGTACGGGGTGGCTTTGGAGAATCACACTTCTTGCAAATTACTACATCATTATAAATCAAACTGTTCTGAAAAAGCACAAGCAATTAATATTTGTATTTATTGGCTGGTTATTTAAAAGAAAAAAAATGGTATACTGAAGTAGGAAATCCAGGTGGTGTAGTGACTCCCATATAATAATGAAATATAACATTTATTAATAACCAATTTCCAAATATTAACAAGAACACTGTTAAAAGTTTATTATTATTCCAATAATATGGTACACCAATCCAGTAAGCTATGGCAACAACAAATGTCGTCAATACAATCACTAAAATAACCATAATCTAAAAAAAATTAATAATTTAAATTAGATAGGTAACATTTAATAAATAAATGTAATTTTTCATAAATATATTAATCATAACTTACTTTTCCAAAAATATTAGTATATTTGTCAACAATTTTAAACAAGGGCTCCAGTAATAAATCACACATATGTTCATAGGTTACATTTTGAGTATACACATAATTATAGAAATAATTTTTGAATTGATACCATGATTTCTTAAATTTTGCTCTGAAAGATGATTGAAATGTAAGAAAATATTATTCTATTAGTTTTACTGTACTAGAATAATTGTTGGTAACAGTATTATGTTTTTCTGTTTAATTTATATAAATTGAAAAGATTGGAATTATAGTTACTTTATCATCCTTAAAATAGACATATTAGCTATTAATCAATGAATATTATGTATTATGATCAAAAAATTACAACAGCTTAAAACTATAAGTTATCATAGTCATCGGACAAGCTCAGTGGATTAATAATTGTAATAAGTTATTTGTAATTTTGTAAATTATTGAAGTTACAACTATTCAAGTCAACTATTCTTTTTCAAATTTTAAATTTTAAATTATCGATTGTTATAATCAGATAACAGCAGATAAATGATAAATTGTTTAGAAAAACATGGATTAAAGAATATGTTTATCTTATCAATCTTAAAACGCGCATTTCAACTTTTAAATAAGAATGTTGATTAAATAAAATATAAAAATATAAAATTGAACTACCTATAATTTATTGAGTTAGAAATTCTTAGTTTTTTCATAAACATTGTGATATTACTATTATTTGTTGTTGTAATAACGGAACGACATTTCGTAAAAAAACATAAAATACATTTAGAAACTGATAAACAACTTTCTAGTACCTATTATTTACTAATAGGTACCTAGTAGTAAAGTGAAAGTAGATATTTCGTTTTGTACCTGTGGATTGTGGCACTGGTGTCTGGTGTGTAGGTGTAAATATCATTATGTAACAGGTATCTGGTGCAAAGTCCATTTTTTAGCTTTTTATTTTAATTTTGTGTTAGTAGCCAAAAACATAATAAAATATACAACTATTCCACACACATGCTATATATTGCAATTGTATTTTGTTACATGCAATTACTCACTCACATTAACTATTTAATGTGAATTTTATTGAAACTTATATCTAACTTCCATATGGCAACAAAAAGCTCACAAAATGCTACTGGATATGTGGTGTTCATATCGTTATTATTTGATTTACTGGCATTTACAATGATATTACCACTTTTCCCATCATTACTAGACTATTATAAACAAAATGACTCTGGTGGATTGTATCACTGGCTGGAACAACATATAAGTGTCTTTCAAAAAATTATTGGTGTACCAGATAAGTTTAATGGAGTTTTATTTGGCGGTAAGTAATACGATTAAATTTAAAAACATAATTTGGAACTAATATAAAATTGAACCATCTAGGTATACTGGGTTCATTGTTTTCATTTTTACAATTTGCTTCATCACCTATTCTCGGTGGGATAAGTGATGTTTATGGGCGTAAACCAGTCATGATTATATGTTTGGTAAGTTCTATGAAATGGTTTTATATTATTTCATTTGCATATTTATGTCTGAAATTATATTTTAGGTAGGCATTTTATCTTCTTACATAATTTGGTCAAAAGCAACAACATTTTCATTATTTGTTTGGTCACGTATTATTGGAGGTCTTAGTAAAGGCAATGTTAGTTTATCAATGGCTATTGTTACAGATGTATATGTACCAGAAAAGCGTGGAAGAGGAATGGTAAATACATTTTTGTCAGTTATTAATACTTAATTTTAATCTATAAAAACAAAAATATTTTAATTGGGTAGTTAGTAAAATATCTCAGCTACAATTATTTCTCATTTAAATATTATTTTTATAATTTTCTTTTCTCATTAAATTTAATAATATTTTTATTAAAATATAATAAAGTATATTTATATATATTACTGTTACGATATTGTAAGAAACTAAAGTGATGCAAAACTGTATGGTGATAGAAATATTGAATTAGTGCTCACTAAATAACTAATTTAACTCTTTTTTTTTTTTTTAAACAATTTAAATTTATAGAATTGTAATTTTATATTGTTCGTGCATTATAAATTGATTACGTATTATTTTTCAAGTAATGTAATGAAAATAATACTATGAAAACTACATGTAAAAATATTTATATTTTTGTTTAATTTTTACTTTTTAGGCAATGATTGGAATAGCATTTTCAGTAGGATTTGTGTTTGGTCCTATGATAGGAGCAGCGTATGCAAAATGGTCTCATGGTCAAGAAGGGGCCTGGTTCGTCCAACCTGCTTTACTTGCAGTTGTTTTAACGATTATTAATATCATTTTTGTAACTTTCACATTTAAAGAATCACTTCCAAAAGTAATAAATTATTATTTTTTATGCATTAATTTTGAATCATTGTTTACAATATTTGTTTATTTTATTTTCTAGAAAAATAGAGCATCTTCAGTTGCTGGAAAATTGTCAGAAGCATTTACATACATTAATGTGGTAGATTTATTCAAATTTAAACTTTTAGATGGTGTTGTTCCATCTGAAGGTAATATTATTTAATTTAGTTGCTGTAATTTATCTTCATTTACAAAAATATGTAATTATTTTGTTTTTTAATTTTTAGATATTAAGAAGTTACGCACATTGGGTACCGTCTATTTTACTTATTTATTTCTATATTCTGGTTTAGAATTTACATTAACGTTTTTGACACATAACAAATTTGGCTATACCTCAATGCAACAAGGTTGGATGTTTTTTGGTATTGGTATTACCATGGCTATTTTACAGGGTGGTTGGGTTCGAAGAATACCTCCAGCACGCACAGCTAAAACTGCCACTTTGGTAAAAGTCTTAATTTAACTATCAGTGTTTAATTATTTAAATAAATGTTATTGAATGTTGTAGGGACTTTTACTCATAGCTCCATCATTCATATGTGTTGGAATGGCTGAATCTCCTCCACTTTTCATTTTTGGTTTATTTCTTTATGCTGTTTGTAAGAAATAAATTAATTTCTTCAATTAATTAAACTAGACTTTTTACTAAAATGTATTTTATTTTTCAGCTACCTCTATTGTTGTTCCGTGTATGACCACATTAGCATCACATTATGGATCTAATGCTCATAAAGGCAAAGCTATGGGTACATTCCGATCATTAGGTGCTTTAGCTCGAGCAGTTGGACCAGTTTTTGCTTCAATGTGTTAGTTTCATAATTTTTAAGAATTCTTTAATATTTGAGTTATATTTAACTGTATTTATTTATTTGTATTTTAGTATATTGGTCTATTGGTCCAAGAATTACATATTGCATTGGAGGCATTTTATTATTGCTACCCTGGATTTTGTTAAAGAAAACATTGAAGGACACTAAAGAAAAAATATGATTAACATTTTTATTATATTATTTTTGAGAACTATCATATTTTAAGTAAAATAATTTGTTTATTTATATATGTTGTGATATGTGTGCAAATCATGGCTGTATTAATTGCTAATGAAAAACTCAATTTTACATTTTTTATATCTAGATAAGAACATCATCATCGAAAACATTTATATCATTAGTTTTATGATTATTAAACAATTATTATTGTACCAAAGACTATTGTGGCATATATAAATAAAAATTGTAGGAAACTTGTTAAATTAAAGCTGTTTAATTTTACTCACCTGGTTTTAATAATCATAATTTTGAACTGAGTAGAAATATTATATCATAAGCATTTAACAAAGTAAATCATTAAAAACTTGAAAATAAAACTTATTTTCTCTCACTTACATTTTACTTCAATACTTAGGACAAAGAGAAAGATCAAGCGTTTTCATAAGAACTCATTTCTTATTTTTGAATAGCATGTCTAGAATATAATCCCTATTGGCACAAATCCAACACCAGTTTCATATAATATAAGTACAATTTAACACATTCAGCAAGGCAATTCTTTGTATCAATTTTCTGAATCAAAATTGTTTATAATTTCAACTTGTTTAATTAAGCTGATATGGAATGAAAATCCAAGACTGTTCTTTCATAGGGTCAGTTTTATTTTCCATCAACAACCATTTTTAATTGATTACTTTTTAGTAATAATGACTGTATTAATAAATTATACTCTTAAGCTCTCAAGGTACTTAGACAAGAAGATGATATGTCAGTGACTTCATTTAGAGAAGTTTAATGAAATATATTATAATGATGTTAATTATGAGTTATGACCATTTAGTAAAAATAAATGATTGATTAATAATTTTAAAGCGGAGATGAAAAATTAAGAATCAATGTTTCACCTGAATTGGAGTTTAAATAATACTTAATTACTAAGAATTTTTTATATCTAATACATGCACACATTTATTTACGTTTTTATTTTGAGGGAGAAAAACAAGTTGGTAAGAAAATGCTTGTTTTATTTTTTAATTTGAATTAAGTACTGAAAGTTTTAGTTGTTGTTTTTAGGTACATTATTTAATGAACATTGAAACCATTTTACATTTAAAACTTTTTATTTTTATAATATAAAAAATATAAATAGAGAATATTAATGAGAATTGGGAGGAAAATTATTTTTTCGGCCAACATGTTCACTTATTTAACACAGACAATGTACGTTCACGCAGACAAAACAAATGTTTTGTTGCTGAAAAAAAGAAATTGTTAAGTTTGGTAAGTTAGTTATAGGTACACATGATTTCTATTAATATAATTACAATATATTATATGTATACAAATAACACATGGACACTGAGAGCAATTATTCTTTGACAAAAATTCTGTAATGAAAATAATAAAATAAAACAACAACAATACAACATAAAAACTTATAATCCTAATGTTGAATCATGATTTGACTGTGGTCTAATAAAACATAATACCTAATACGACAATACAATTATTTTTAAATTTTAATTCAACATGTTTATACATTTTTAATATTGCTACCTAGTTTAAATAAACTTAACAAACTAATAAATATTAAATATCACAGTAAATAAAACATCTTTCAATTAATCTATTTTTACACAAAGTATAACATTCCTTCTAAAACTATCAAATAGATTATTTTTCCAATAACTGTTATAGTATTATGCTTAACAGTTATCATCATAGAGTGATGATAATGATCCAAAAGACATGTTAAAGCCTGGTGGTTCCTCAAATTGCATACTAGTTGGATAATTAGAATTTTCGCTATCGTGAATGTCAAATGGTAATATTGCATGTTGAATTTGACTATCCGGCGATACTCCAAGTATTGAATAAAGTTCCTTCAAGACTAATAAAATAGTGTCTTCAGATTCCCTATGAAGAAAATTATAAAAAATTAAATTTAATAATTTATAATTAAAAAAAAAAAAAAGGAATAACATTCAATCTTCATAATTCTATCTTACATGGTGTCAAGCTTAAATATTTATAAATAGTATAGACTCAATAATTTTAAGTTGGAGAGACTTTGAATTGCGAAGAAGTTTGAATATCATGAGAGAAAAATAAATATATTAATTACTAAGAGTTTAAAATAT